ACTACTGCAGTCTTCATTTTGCGAATGAGAAGTAGTCAGTTGTGATCTATCATTTATATTTGGCTTAATAAATCATAGTTCATTTGGCTTTACACAGTACTTATAAATTCCACACTGGCATGTGTAAACCCATCACTGTTTAAATTCAGGCCTTGTGGTCTAATTTATGTACTTTGGCTGTTTTCTCTCAGAATGTTCAATTATAAGAAAACGTGCACATTATTTTGTGACATATTAGTTGTTCTTAGTAAGGATATTACCCAACTGAGTGTTTTATAGTTTTTGGAGGATCATCACTGTGCTGTTAAATCTAAAATCAGTTCTATATAATATGAATACATCTAGCAAAACCACCAACCAATATTTTAGCACGTGCAGAGAATCATAAGGTTTGAGGGGACTTTAGAGGTTATGTAGTCCTATCCTGTTCAGGATCCCTTACAGCAGTGGTTCTCAACCTGGGGGGTCGGGACCCCATTTGGGGTCGAACAACCATTTCACGGGGGTCGCCAAACAATGCAGTCTGCCATTTTTTTCCCTCTTTTCCTTAGCTGTGCTACTCTCTTTTATTTTATTGGCTTTTGAAAGCCAATAGAATAGACTCTCTTGAATAGAGTCTAATTCTATTGGCTTTCAAAAGCCAATAGGAATTGTCCAGGCTCTCTCTGCCCTGCCGAGCTCGCCAAAAGTCCCATTCTGCAAACGGTGCTGCACCAGTTGAGTAGTCCTCAACGTACGACCGGTTGAGTAGTCCTCGACTTATGACTGGTTGGGGGTCGCGGCATTAAAAAGGTTGAGAACCACTGCCTTACAGCATTTCTGACAGATGAATATTCAATCTCTGAAGAATTCCAGCAAAAGAGAATTCACCACTTCATGTGGCAGTCAGCTCATGTTACTGGGAGATTTATCTTGATGTGTAGCCTGAAAGCTTTTCCTTATATTTTAACCCACAGTTCTGGTCCTGCCCTGTGGAACAATAATAGAAAATAATTTCACTCCCTCTTTGTGTGAAAGTTCTGTCGTAGCCCTCCTAATGATATTCTGGAAGTCCTTTAAATCATGGCTGTTCTCCCAAGTTCCAGGATAGGTTAGCTGTGGTGCCTGTCTCTTTGGGGTTCTTTTTTTAAAATGAAATGTGGTTAACTGGATGTTTCAGATTCTTCCTCTATTGTTTTTCTGCTTTTAAATTGCAAAATATCCAGAGTAATTCTGGAGTTGGGTAGCCTCCAAATGAAACAAACAGAGCTTCACACCTCCTCTCAATCTTTTATATGGGCTAAGCATAGCCAGATCCTTTAAGTATTTCTCATAGGGTTTGTTTTCTACACCCTCCACCATGCTGATACCCTTCCTCTGAACTTGATCCAATTTGTCACTGCTACTTTTGAAGGACAATGATTTGGATTTGCACTACTGTTAATGCATGCCAAGATAGTATTTGCTTTTTAGCAGCTGCATCATATTCCTGGTACATGTTTAATGTATAATCAATAAGGTCACCCTGACCCACCCTACTGCATTCTGTAGTATTCATTTTGGCTGAGTGCTCAGATCTATCTATACAATTTGGATCTTGTTTCACTAAAGTATTAACTATCATTCCCAGTTTCCCGTCATCTGCAAACTAGCACAAACCAAGTATAGTTTGTGTACAGTTGAATTCAGAAGATAAATATTGTACATACTTTACAACTATGCTTCCCTCTCTTTCCATCTTGCTTGAAACCTCCCACCCCATTTTTTCTGGAAGTTGCCTAATTACTATCTTAGACTGGAAGAAGAAAAAGAAAGAAAAGTGCCTTGACCTCTCCTGTTTCATGTTTCCTTATTTGATGAAGCAATTTAACCATTGAATTCTCAGCAACACTATTCTTTGATACCTTAAAATTATTTTTTTGTTCAAAAATACAGGCGGACTATACCCCTGTACTATAAATATCTTTTAATTTGACATTTATGAATTCATCTGCCCACTTACTGTTTATTGAACGGATTTTAAGTCATTCTTTAGTATTATAGTCAGAGCAATATGAAGTGCTATATAATTGTTATTTTCTTCCTAGTGTTTACCCGCAAGTGTGTATGTTCAACTTTTGTTGAATCAACTGAATACTGATCCATTGGTTACAGTGGGATTTGGTCCCTTCCAACTCTGTTATTCTGTTATTTTCTGAATTTTTGACATGCTGAGGCCAAAAGATTCTCCTTCACTGATATAGTCTGATATTTCAGTCCATATCCTTAGATAACGTTTACCATGTGGGAGAAGATAGAGAAGATGGAATGCTATAAAAGAAGACGATATAGGCAATTTTTGTAACTATGTGATAAAAGTACCTTCTTTTCTCAATTCTCCAGCTTAGCTACCTTAAATTCCATTGTGGTTCTCATACAATATAAATTAGTGATTTAATGATACAATATAAATTAGTGATTTAATGATGCGGCTACATTGTAACATTTAATATTCTCCTCTAGCCTTCTAATAATAATATTAATGTTTTAGGTGTGGAATATTTTTAATATTGTCCTTTTATGGTTTTTTGTATACTGCAGAGAGTTATATTTTGTTATATGGATGGTTATATAAATAGGATGGATGGTTGGAAGGACAGACAGACAGACATTAAAAAACAGGGGCAGCACCCTTTCGCCTCTGAAAGTAAATTAATTCAGCTCAGTGCTGCCATCTGCTGAGGTAGTAGAATCCTAAAATGGAACATTAATTTCCAACATAATCTTTTGGAAATGGACTTGGATGGAGAGGGTGAAATGTGGAAATCACAACGTATTCAGATATTTCCAAATCAATTCTGATACTTTTAGCTACAGGAGAAATATCTGAAATCTTTGTATGCTATAGAGTATAGGTAGAAGATATTTTTTACATGTTTACTAAATGAAAGTAAAAATGACAATACTAAATAGAAATCAGTAATGTGAGATTGGATCTCGCTTGATTTAAAGCAGCAGAAAATTTTGCAGTTCAAAATTTTCTGGGAAATTTGTATTAATGATAGTGTCCCATTGCTAGTTTTCTACCTAAACAAGCAATGTATGTGTCACTGCTGCTGTAAACAGAATAAAAAAGTTCCTAAAAAGGATATCTCTTGATATAGACAAAAAGCTCAGTATTGTACCTCGATAAAGTAAAGTGGTCATGGATACTTCCTTGTCTTTCAGGGTGCTGTGTACGCTGAACACTTTATGTTTAGTCTAGCTAAAGTATCTTATGTGGTTACAAAAATGAAAAGCTTGGACTTCATAGTCATTCTGGCAAAACTTTTTCCCTTGGAAGACAGTTACATTAAGTTCAGAATTTACATGTTAGTGACCAAAATGTTTGTTTTCTACTAGTAATTTCTACAGTAACTAGCCTGTTATAAACTGATTTTTTAAAAATCCAATATAATACTTATTGATGTAGAAAAAAAATCCTATGTGTCTGTATTCACATATTTGCCTTGGCAATTAGTTTCTAAAGATTTTTCTAGTTCTAATGGTTTTGCAGCTTTAGAAAGCTCATTTATTTAAATTAAATTGCCCCTGAATAATAATTGCACCTTTCAAAATAAAAAGCCAGGATTTGCTTTTGTGCAAAACCAAACTGCAGGCCAATCCACACTGGCAGATTTCTGTTTTAACAGGAGTATTATCTGACAATAGCTATTTGGCACTGTTATTTCATGGTGTCTAGTACTGTACTGTACTGCAAACATTACAGTCAAACTTTGATTGGATTCCAGTCAAAAAGTATAATTCCTACTTTTCATGGTTTGTTTTGATTAAAAGGTTTTGCTCACATTTAATACAGTACTAAGTTTTCTTTTTGTTACAAGGAGTCATCCTAGTGAATTTTAAGCTCTTCAGCTTCTCCCCTCCTGTAATGCAATTGGAAGGAGTTTGAAAACATTTGCTTATGTTTTAGATTAAATGTAGCTTGTTGTGATGTTTAAACCTAGACAAACTGGTTTAGTGTAATATATCCAAGCCAAAGCAAATCTGACTTGCTGTCTGGTTAGGAAAGGAGGTGTTTGGAAACTGTCTAGTTGTAGTTAGCTGCAACATTCTATAAACAAACTAAATTCAGGAATCATGGTTTGAAAATCAGATGTTTTAATCTAGCCATGGTTGGTATTTATGAGTTTTTAGGTTTAGTCATTCTCGTTTATTTGTAAAAAGAATTGGCATGCTTTGAAACATCTGCTTTGAAGGATTGGCAGCCGTAAACCCCAAGAATATTGTGATATTACAAATAATATTACAAAAACTTCAGGAATATTACAAAAATGTCAGGAGAGACTGATTTTGAAGGAAGTGAGATGATCTATTATTAAATAAAATCTGTTTATTGCCTGGATCCCAGCTTGTATTAAAACCATAATTTGGTTTGCTTGGCTTTGATATAGCCTATTATGTGAATCTTTTCACTGTGGGGATCACTAACCACTTAAATAATAAAGATAGTCTTGCAAGATTTATTTTGTGAATATAAAGTAATAATTTTGGTTCCTGTGACTTTGTAAACATTTTCATCCCAGCAATGGACTAGGATAGCTGGGATAGCCATTGCTAGCAAATGCAAGGGTAATTGTAGACTTGATCGGATGTTGTTGCACTGAAATGTGGATATAAGGCGTTGTTCTAGATTTAGTTGGTCATATTTATTCTGTTTTTATTTGATGTCATTTGTGAGCCACTTAGAATGATCATGTAAAGATAAGCCGCCATGTAGGTTTTCTAAACAAACAAACTGGCTTCTATAGAGTCCCCTGGTTTATAGTTTATATATTGTTAAAATTTGGCCAGCTGTGCTTTATTCAATAAACTATAGTTAACTAAACTGCTGTTTAGAGTGCTTTGTTTCTAAGAACCATCAATTAGAAATCACTCCAAGCAATTCATCAGGTAATGAATTAGACTACATGTACTGAAATGATGTGCACATGCTTGAATATAGTGGTGTTCAAATTATTTTCTGTTGTAATATCCTATAGATTTTCCAACTTGCTGCTATGAGGAAACCTCGGAGGAGGTCCCGGCAGACTTTGGAAGGAAGACGTTCTCCTTCACCATACAGCTTGAAATGCTCACCCACCCGAGAGACTCTGACATACGCCCAGGCTCAGCGAATAGTGGAAGTTGATATTGATGGCCGTCTCCATCGCATCAGCATTTATGATCCTCTGAAGATCATCACAGAGGATGAGCTAACCGCCCAGGACATCACAGAATGCAACAGTAACAAAGAAAACAGCGAACAACCACTTTTTCCTTCAAAATCCAGGAAAAATCAGTGCAAAGGCAAAAAAAAAGAGACGTGCACCAAACATGCTTCTGGAGCATCTTTTCCTCTACCACAGCCCAGCTTTCGCATGATTGACTCTTTCAGCCAGCTGGATGCTCCACCCTTGCCTTCAGCTTACTATCAGTATATTGAGAAACCACCCGAGGATGTTGATGCTGAAGTGGAGTATGATTTGGATGAGGAGGATTTGGCCTGGCTTGACATGATCAACGAAAAAAGGAAAAATGATGGGTATGGATCAATTTCTGCAGAAACTTTTGAATTGCTACTAGATCGTCTGGAGAAAGAGTCATATTTGGAGAGTCGTAATAATGGAGCCCAGCAGACCATGATAGATGAGGATGCTGTTTGTTGTGTTTGCATGGATGATGAATGTCATAACAGCAATGTCATTTTATTTTGTGACATTTGCAACTTGGCTGTGCACCAGGAGTGTTATGGAGTTCCTTACATCCCTGAGGGACAATGGCTTTGTCGCTGCTGCCTACAATCCCCTTCCCACCCTGTTGATTGTGTCTTGTGTCCAAACAAAGGTGGAGCATTCAAACAGACCAGTGATGGTCACTGGGCTCATGTTGTTTGTGCCATCTGGATCCCAGAAATTTGTTTTGCAAACACTGTGTTTCTGGAACCCATTGAGGGAATAGAAAACATCCCACCTGCCCGCTGGAAACTAACTTGCTACATCTGCAAGCAGAAGGGCATGGGAGCAGCTATCCAGTGCCACAAAATGAACTGCTACACTGCTTTCCATGTTACCTGTGCCCAGACAGCTGGTCTCTTCATGAAGATTGAGCCCATGAGGGAGACCAGCCTCAATGGCACCACATTCACTGTGCGCAAAACTGCTTTCTGTGAGGCACATTCCCCTCCTGGCACCATGAAAAAAGGAAACACAACTACTCTTCATGAAGGAGATGAGGACATTGTAAAGAATGAGACAATGGAGAGGGGCAGTCCCAAAAATAAAAACAAAGTAAATTGGAAGCAAAAGGTGAAAAAGGAAAGCAGTGCTTCTGTGCCTCTGCTAATGGTCACACAGATCCCTTCTTACCGGTGAGTGGCGCAGCCATTCCAGTCATTATTTTGGTCTGCCCTGGTTTCTGCTTTCATCTCAACAGGACTTAATCACAAGCTATGTGCATTTTCCAATTATTTATGTCCTTCCCTTTAGAATAAACAATCCCTCCAAATGGCTTACAAGAAATTTTAAAAGGCAGATAAAAATAAATATTATTTGAAACAAGCAAATAAATAGACTTTTAGGGTCCCTTCTAAATAGCCAGAAGAGGGGGAGCGAAGTCTAGCTTTCCTTCCCCTCTCTCAGGAATCATTCGTGCAGGGTGGGTGGTGGCAGTGACCCTGTGAGAGGGGAATTAGAAAGACTTTGCTAAGTAGATTTCAGGATGAATGAAACAGCCTAACTATGTGCTTGATTATAGCCTCAGTCCACAAAAGGTAAACATGTTTCTTAAAGTTCATATTGTGGATTTTTTTTTGAAATACTAAATTGCTTTGGTTAATTAAAACTGTGAAGTAAATTTTGTTCATTTGAACTCATTTGGTGGATGGGCATTGCTCATTTTACTATTACTGCTGCTGAACTGGATCTGTGCAACTGTTTCTAGTGGCATGAATTTTCTAGTTGAAAATCCTCTAATCTGAGATACTGTATAGTTTGTATTTAAAGCTCATGTGACTAGAGAGTTAGGCAGTGGTCCATATTGCCTGATGTAGAAGAGTTACCATGTCTCATGTGGATTTGCGGAATCTGAATTTGGATTTAATAAGGTATAAGCTTTTTTGATGCTATTATTTTCCCCAGGCTGAATAAAATCTGCAGTGGACTCAATTTCCAGAGAAAGAATCAGTTCATGCAGAGGCTGCACAATTATTGGCTATTGAAACGTCAGTCAAGAAATGGTGTACCACTGATACGGAGGCTACACTCTCACTTACAGTCCCAAAGAAATGCAGAACTGGTATAAGAATTTTTCATCATGATAGTGCTGCCCGAGTAGTATGAGGGAGAAATGTTTGATAAACTGAATGGGAAGGTTTAGGAAAGAACTAAATGAAAATGATCCTTTCTGGAATACCTATTGTTAGTTAGATTAAGTTGATTAATTTTGAAAGTTTGAATGAATAGTAGTAATGAAATTATTACATCTTCTCTTAGTGGATGTTTGCATTGTATAGTTACTTTACTATCAGTTATGGGTGCATCACATCGATTTTTACATTACATAATATAGAAAAGGCAAAACCAAGATTAGAGTAGATATGTTCATGAAACTATTCCTTAAGCCTGGAAATAGGGTTAACTCATTCTATAGAGCAGTGTTTCTCAACCTTGACAATTTTAAGGCATGTGGGCTTCAACTCCCAGAATTCCACAGCCAGCAATGCTGGCTGTGGAATTCTGGGAGTTGAAGTCCACATGCCTTAAAATTGTCAAGGTTGAGAAACACTGCTATAGAGCAATGTTTTTATTCATTGTGGATATTAACACTTGGATTGTGGGTATTAGTTATTAAATCTTTCTTTCTCCTATAAAGGAATATTTTTCAATTCTAACTTTTTAAGTGCAGTTACTTTTCACAATGCCCTGAGTGTAATATGGCATTTATCTTTTTGTTCTATTCAGATTTATTTATTTAATAAATGTACATGGGCATCCATCTCAAGTATATGACTCTGGGTGATTAACAATATTAAAAATTATATAAATATAAACAGAGGGATGACCTAGTTTCCAGAGGGATGATATTCCAGATGGCAGGTGCCACAACAGAAAAGTCTCTTCTCTTGGGCCCCACTGCTGACACTCTAAAACAGACAGGACCCACTATTGGACTGAATGGATGGATGGGTAAAAAACAACCTGAGAAAGACAATCCCATAAGCAACCTGGCACCAATTTAGGGTTAAGAATTAGATACTGTGTTTTAGGTAGACCCTAATTGTGAATTATTGTGGAGAGAAAGAGAAAATTGAGAGATCTGAAATGACAGAATACAATCTGCAGCAATAAAATGTTATCTCCACAGAAGGAGCAGGATGAAAAGACTAGTGCAGTAAAAGAAGAACTTAAATATTGGCAGAAACTTCGGCATGACTTAGAAAGAGCACGGCTGCTCATTGAATTAATTCGTAAACGTGAGAAACTCAAACGTGAACAGGTAAATAGAAGTATGACTTGATGGTGCTTTAGCATTGTTTCTGTATATTAATTGCTACTGAAAGTTGCATATGCATTGCAGATTTTTATAGCTACTGAGGGATGGATTTATTTATTTATTAAATTTATTTGCCACTCATCTCATATTGAAACAACTGCAGGTGACATATAAATATGAATAGTATTTCACATTGATTAGACCAGTGGTTCTCAACCTTTCTAATGCCGTGACCCCATAATACAGTTCCCCATGTTGTGATGAACCCCAACCACTTATACATCACCGGGTGCCAGGGGCGTGGCCAAAGAAAAGGGGGAAAAAATGGCGGACAGCCTTGTTTGGCGACCCCCGTGAAATGGTCGTTCGACCCCAAATGGGGTCCCGATCCACAGGTTGAGAACCACTGGATTAGACCAAGAAAGGGGAATATATACATATATATTTTTCTGTGCTGGCTTCCAGTCCTAAGCATGTTTATTCAGAATGAAACATCACTTTATTTAGTGTGACTTACACCCCGTTAGGTTGCCATATAATTGCAGCCAAAGATAAATCTGGAAATGGATTGGAATTTGTGTCATTAAAAAACACTTCTGTGCATACTTGATTTGTTCAAAAAGGTTAGCAATTCCAGATTTTTCTCTGGGTGGTGCATGGTCAACTAATAATAAAAATTGTAAAAGCAAAGATAAAACCTAGAAACAAAATCTAGGAAAACAAGCACATTTGTAGAACTACACCATTATTGTAAAATTGTTCAGGGAAATATGAATGTTTTTGTTTGGTGTTACAAGAACAGCAGGCTCTCCAGATGAGCTTCCCTGGAGAGGACATGACATGTTCCTTTCTCCAGTTATCACTTACCTAATTATGGAAAGGCATAACTATATAACTGTTATCAGTTGGTTTAAGTTAAGGGTTTCAACAAAGCTATATTTCTAGATTTCACAGTTATATAAAATGTCATTTTGCAGCTAAGAATCTGTTTTAGTTTGCTGTTTTATGCTTTAAATAATCACTGTCTTGTTCTGACAAAGTGATAGAAGTTGAGCAGAGAATTTTGCTTTCTTGAAATTTATGCTCCTATGTGCTATCAGGCAATTTCATATATAACTCCCTGCAATTAGTTTACAGTCCATTTTTATAGTGTTATATGATGAATGAGTGAGCTTTGTACATTAATTATATGTGAAAAGGAAATACTCATTTTTTTCTATCTTTGGTATCTCTAAATAATATTATTATTCTGATTTCAGGTAAAGATTCAGCAAGCTGCTATGGAGTTACAGCTCACACCATTCAATGTTCTTCTGCGCACAACACTGGATCTACTGCAGGAAAAGGATCCAGCCCAGATCTTTGCAGATCCCGTAAACCTGAGTGAGGCAAGTACCTAGAGATACATAGGATGTATCTTAAGGCTCTGTTTAGAGGAATGGCTGCATCAGGGATTGGCAATGCAGTATTTGGGAACATTGAATCATTTGGATAAAAAAAAAAAAAACCATCTTCAGGACCCACAAATTAAAGTTAACCCTGCAATATTATAAAGAGTTTGAGGGGTGCAAATGCTGAAATTTCACAAAATCTGCTGCTCTTCCAAAGTTTCTCCCATTTTTACATAGATAAATAATGCAATATTATTGCTCTTTTATCATCAAATAAAAGCATTTATAGTACCCAGCATCTGGGAAAAAAAAAACAACCCTGCCAGCTCTTGGACAATATAAAAATACAACTGGCAACGATAAAGTCTTGTTACTTGATTATCTCATGTTACTGTTTCATAAAGTAAAGTATTTTTGAAGAATAAACTGTTTACACAAAGAGCTGCCAAACTATCCCAAGTAGAGTACTGTCTATTTGGAAATTGACTCTCACCGTTTAGCAAGATAGTTCTGTTTACCAGAGTGGAAGGGAATGTAATTAAATGAGTGTCATTCTTGTAAGTTTATGATCAAATCCAGTGGCAATAAGAGGACATACAGAATACTTATGATTGGTATACCCTGGTTGGCTAGTAAATGATTTTTGTAATTGTACAGGTTTTATATGTTTAGGTTCCAGATTACCTGGAATTCATTTCCAAGCCAATGGATTTTTCTACCATGAGGAAGAAGCTGGAGTCCCACCAGTACCAAACACTGGATGAATTTGAAGAAGATTTTAACCTCATCCTTGCCAATTGCATGAGGTATAATTCTAAAGACACAATTTTCCATCGAGCAGCTGTCCGGCTCAGAGATCTTGGAGGTGCAATATTACGCCATGCACGACGGCAAGCTGAGAATATTGGCTTTGACCCCCAAGTGGGGATTCATTTGCCTGAATCTCCAAAGACAGAAGATTTTTATCGTTTTTCTTGGGAGGATGGTAAGTTTCTGAGCAATCTCTGATGTAATAAAGACAACTACATGTGTATAAAAATGTAAAGAAACTCAAGAAATCATCTTGAAAAGTATCCTATATAAAAATATTTAACTGATTCCAGATTTAAGTGATGCCTTTCCTACCTGTGGTATAAAGTAAAGTCCATAATGTAGTATAATGTTCAGCTAGGTAAGAATGGTGAGTAGGTCTGGCTTGAGATGCAGAGAACTTTCTCAATTGATAGTACACACCCAATATATCTAATTGCAGTTGACAATATTCTTGTTGCTGAGAACCGAGCTCATCTTTCCTTGGAGATACAACTGAAGGAACTATTGGAAAAGCTGGACGTAGTGAGCACCATGAGATCAAGCGGTGCCCGAACCCGTCGCGTTCGACTCTTGAGACGAGAAATCAACTCTGTCAGGCAAAAGCTGTCTCAGCAGCAGAGTAAAGCCGTGCCAAATGGAGAATCGGCTCCATGGGAAGAAGGTCTGGAAAAAATGCTGCACAGTGATGAAGACAGGGAGAAAGGTGAGAGATTTCACTGGATTTCAGTAGATTAGTGAGGAAAGAGATTTAGTTTAGGCTGGGCTGGGCTGGGTTGACAAAGTGAACATACCCCCAGGAGATCTGTTCATATTAATCTTACATTTGTCTGTTAGAAGAATCCTCGCTATAATGGTTGCTTTTAACAATGCATACCAAAATTATTTAAACACTGAGTCAGAGACATCTTCAGGATTTGTGATATTTATCATACTGCACAGTACAAATTGTACCTCATTATAAATTGGTGAGTTTGGAAGAAAACAGCAGAGGCTAATCAGATTTGCCAGTCTTGAATCTACTTGGTTGCAGCCCAGAATATGTCCTTATACTGATATCTCTGTAGCTTCTATAGGGAACATTCTGTATACTGGAAGTATTAACTAGTTCTTGTGGGGGAGGGAAGAAAGAGAGAGAGGGGGGGGAGGGAGGAAGGAAGGAAAGAAAAAGAAAGGAAAGAAAGAAAGAAAGAAAGAAAGAAAGAAAGAAAGAAAGAAAGAAAGAAAGAAAGAAAGAAAGAAAGAAAGAGAAACTATGAGTACCAGAGTGGGTTAGAAAAAGATTAGCAAAAGAGATAAATGCAGTTTTAGCCTTCCTTAGTAGAATGAAGGGAAGTAATAGTTGCCTTTTGGTTATTATGCCTTATTTCAGATTCCATCTCAGCTTTTGTGTCCAGTTCAAAACAAATTTAGAAAAATTAAACTGGTATAAAGAGGAACCTCTGAGGAGGCATTGAGTTAACTGAGTATGTTTAGCCTTGAGAAAAGAAGATTAAGGGCGGATATAATAGCACTCTTCAAGTACCTGAAAGGACTTTACAGAAAAGCAGGTTGAGACCTGGTTTCTGGTAGAGAATATATGTAGCTGAGAGTTGAATTTTTGGCCTCTTGGTGTTCTCTGGCTTCCATTTGCTTCTTGCAGATATTTCATTACCAGGCTGGGTTAAATCATTAGTACATGGGGCACTGAAGTTTGTTATCTGTTTATATGTGATAGATTGATCTGGCTTAGAACATCTATAATTTCCTTGACAAATGACCACAATTGAGCCCAAAATTTCTGTTGCTAAGTGAGACTGTTGTTAAGTGAGTTTTGCCCCTATTTTATGACCCTTCTTGCCACAGTTATTAAGCGAATTACTACAGTTGTTAAGTTAGCAAGTGAATCTGGTTTCCCCATTGACTCTACTTGTCAGAAGTTTGCAAAAATTGATCACATGACTCTGGGACACTGCAGCTGTCATAAATATGAGTCAGTTGCCAAGCATCTGAATTTTGATCACATGACCATGGGGATGCTACAATGGTTATAAGTCATAAATCACTTCTTTCAGGGTCTTCAAACGGTCACTAAATGAACGGTTGTAAGTCGAGGGCTATCTGTACTTGTCAGTGTATAGTGAAATTAAAGAATTTTCCTGATGTCTTCTGGCTGCCAATTGATTTTCAGGGTTACGTACAGCCAATTTATCCTATATAGCAATCTTCATGGTCCATGCATTGTATGTCGTAACTTGACATGTTTTGTCTTCTTTGGCTGTTGAGTCTTTATGTTTGCTTTGGATGCTTTGGATAGATATTGTTAATTTAGGGGCTGCTGTAATGCCAACAATTTATACTCATCTGGGGGTAATTTTTAAAATGTTTTTAATGTGTGGTAGAGCTATCCTTTTCATAGGTTATGCAGATTGTGTTACAATCAATCATATAACACATGCATGTTAACCAACACTTAGAAAAGCAGGAACTGAAACCTGAATAGGAACAACCAGGGAAGAAACTACACTCAATTCAAAGAGCAGTTGAGAAAGAAGCAACACCCCAATGGAGCTACCATATTTAAACAGCAAGAAGACTTAACTTCCCCATGCATCAATGATATTAACTAGCCTAGTAATTAAATGTCTGCAAGAAGAAAAGCAAGCTCAGAAATCACCACTGACCCCAAAAGATCAGTTTTCTATTGTTCCAAAACGTTGGACATGACATACAATAGCAGATTTAAAATATAGAAAGACAATTCCAATTGAATATTAGGAAAAATATTCTAATGTTAAAAGCATTTGACAATGGAATCCGATAACAAGAGAAGGTAGTAGGGTCTCCTTCACTGTGTAGGTGCAAACATAGGTTAAACCTATGTTATACCTGTTGAGGATGATTTAATTTGTGCTGAACAGAATGTTATGCATTGATAGCCTAAATGTTCCCTTCCTGTCTATTCTGTGATTAAGAAGTCTTTTGCAACCTATAAAAATAAGCCCTGAATATTATACCATGAGATTTCGAAGGAAATTATACATGCATTCTCCAATTAATAGTAAATAAGTGAATGCAAGGAATCTTGAACTCCGATCATATGGGCAGTGGGAATCAAAATGGGTTCTATTTTGGCTACATAAAACATTGTGATTTATGTACACAGTAGTTGAGGATTTTTGAATGAGTCAGAATCCCATGATTTGTTCAATAAACCATCACTAAAATGAATCATAGTTTAAAGTGATGTGTAAATCCAGCCATACGTGATTTCAGCTAGTAAGAATCTTAAGCTGTTTTTGAACCAGGGGTTATTTTTTTTTCAAGTGACATTAGTTGACAGAACTTGATTGTTCTCTCCCAAAGAAAGATGCGAAGTCATAATTCTTATGTTTTGAAATAGTGAAAATGGAAAATGCTGCATATAGAAAAGCAGGCAGGGGGCTGATTCTGAGTTGGGCTATTCAGGGATTTACACAGAATGTTATGGCAGCAGCACAAAAAGAGCTGTTCACGTTGTTTGCTTTCCTTCCCAAAAGTAGTTTAGCTGAGGTTCGATATCATTAATATATTACAAATAATAGTCATCAGCAAATTCAGCATGAATTGGCTACTGTTGTAAGGGTAGTCCTCAATTTGCAACCACAGTTGAGCCCAAATTTTCCGTATCTAAGCGAGAGAGTTTTTGCCCCATTGTAAACTTTTCTTGCTGCAGTTGTTTAGTGATCACAGCAGTAACACGGTTGCTAAGTGAGTCTGGCTTCTCCACTGACTTTGCTTGTCAGAATATTGCAAAAGGTGATCACATGACTCCAGGACTCCATGCAGCCATCATAAATACATGCCGGTTGTCAGTGTCCAAATTTTGATCACGTGACCGTGGGGATACTGCAATGGTTGTAAGTGTGAAAAATGGTCATAAGTCACTTTTTTCAGTGACACTGTAACTTCGAACAGTTACTAAACAAATGCTTGTAAGTCTAGGAAAACGTCTGCTGGATTTTCCCGATAGAGAATTCTTAGTGCTGTGTATTGGGCAACATCCCATTCTTCGTCTCTCCTATTTTTGTGATAGTAAATGAGTTTCTCTTTACCCTCAAGAAAAAAAAGATATAATTTTAAAGATATTTTACAGTATAGCCCTATTATTCTCAAGTTGGTTTTAACTGCAGCCTTAATATATATCTGCATGTGAAAAGAAACTATCAATGGTACTTAGTGAGGAAAGGTGAAAAGGCAATTGTTGTGGGGTTTTTTGTGGTTGTTGTCATAGGTCAGGGGTGTCAAACTGCTGGCCCACGGGCTGGACATGTCACGCGGAAGCCACACTCACCCCATTGCCGGCAATGGCAAAACCGTCCTGATACATTGCACAACTTCACGTGATGTCGCGAGTTTGACATGTCTGTTATAGGTAGTCCTCAACCTACGACCACAATTGAGCCCAAAATTTGCATTGCTAAGTAAGGGAGTTGTTAGGTGAGTTCAGCCCCATTTTACAACATTTTTGCCACGGTCGTTAAGCGAATCAGTGCAGTTGTTAAATGAATCATGCAGTCATTAAGCGAATATGGCTTCCACCATTGACTCTGTCACAAGCCAGCCAGGAAGGTTACAAATAGTGATCACATGATCGGAGACAATATGTTGTAAACATCTCCCATTTGCACTGCCTAAATTTTGATCACATTACTTGGGGATGCGGCAGTGGCCATAAGTATGAAAATATAAGTCATAAGTCACTTTTTTTAGCATCATTGTAACTTTCAGCGGTCACTAAACAAATGGTTGTAAGTCAAAGACTACCTGTATTTGTTTGCTCTGAAACTGCACAATATAGTATGTTATCAACTGCCCCCAACCTTTTGAGCACCAGGGACGGTTCCGTGGAGAGAGGTTTTTCTATGGACCGAAGGGGGGAGCATGTTTCACATGCTGCCTGCATCCCATGGATGGGGCTTCGCTTGCTTGTGCAGACTGGTTGCTGGCATGCTGCGGCTCAATGCCGGTCCACTGACCAGGGGTTAGGGACCCCTGAGTTAGAGTATTTTCGATGTCCTTTTTCTGCAGCAAAAATATTCAGGCATCTGTTAATTCACACAAGTTGCCTTGTAGCTATCTACCGCTGATTTGATTTATCCATATTGCAGTATCTTGTCTCTATTCATCTAGTATTCCTCAGAATAAAGTTCCATTTATCAAAGCTAATTATTTTCACATCCAGGGTTTCAGGATTAGAATTTCTCAGCTATTCAGCTATAATATGACAAACTTTTGCCCACCTTTTTTCCTAAGCTTGCAACAGGATAAGTTGGCATGCATTCTGGAGCAATTACAAATAGTCCTTGACTTATGACTGGTTACTTAACGACCATACAAAGTTATCCCAAATGGACCCCCCAAAAAGTACTTACAATCCTGATGGAAAATTTCTCCGGCTGCTTCCTTCTCCCACAGTCACATAATTGCATTTTGGGTACTTGACAATGCCCCACATTTATAGGTGTTTGTAGCGTCTTACAGTCAGATGACTGTGATTTATGACATTTTTTGCTGGAAACCAGTGTTTATTTCAATCCCATTCGCTTAATGACTGCAGTGTTCACTTTATGACTGCCATGTTCCTTTTTCGACTGCCGTAAAAGTCATCAGATCAGACATGGTCACATGATAACTTGCTTAACAACCGACATGATTTACAATCATAATTCCTGGTTCAGTTACAGTCGTAAGTTGAGGACTACCTATATAGCGGTTTCAGTATTTCCCAACTGGTACCTCAGAGATGAGGACTGCTTATATTGCTGGTCTGTAGTTTCTTTCTGCATTGTGACATTTGTGTTTCCCTGCAGCCTTTTGCCATTTTGGGAGTGTAGCCAATTCCAAATTCACACAGTAGGTTTCTACCTCTCTTCCTACCCTTTTCATGACTGTCATGAAAGGAGAGACAAATGCATTAAAAGAGAGGTAGCATTAAAAGTAGCATATGGAGATTTTGCAGTATACAGTTCTCCTATTCATATCTACTCAGAATGTTATGTGCCCATTTCCACTTCCGTTTTGTCCATGACTAGCAGCATAATGTGTTTTTTTTAATACAACATACGTTTTTCAAGGTTTACAATTGATTTGTAAGTATTACTACATGCTGCAAGAGAAAATGACAGAGAAACATCCTCTTTCCTTGCTGTTTCTAAAAACTAGTCTGGAAGTGAGAAGGGTATTTTAATTAAAAATGTTCATTACATGTTTCTTTGTTTTTACTTTTTGGTTCACAAATTGCTTAATGTATTTTTTCTTAGAATCCTGTAATATAAAAATATGTGTACCTTTCTAACTATAGACTAAGATTTTTAGTATTTTGTCACATATCAGATGTTTAGGCTCCTGTAACTCTTTGAAAGGGAACAATAATTGTAAAGAAAGTTATTGTTATTCAAACGGCACTCCAACTATAAGAACAGAAGATGTGAAACAGCTGTTCTGTAGGCCAGAAGAAAGATAGGGCAGCAAATGAAAACCTTTGAAATGACTTTCACAGTTCTAATTTCTATTGCAGGGATACTTTGAAGTTGTCTCCTCCACACACAGAAATTACACACTTAGGGTCAGCTGCCCCATAAAGGGGAACTAAATTCTGTTTAACTGTTAGTGAAGCAACCACAGAATGTTGCTATCTTTTAGCAGTGTTTTGAGATGATTTAATTATAATAACATTTAAAAGCGTTATTCTCATTCATGGAGAAATAAAATACTTGGTGTGGTATTTTTCAATCAGTACTTTCTAATTTTGTTAGGAAATTCTTGAGTCATTCCTTCTTCCATGAGTATGGTAAATGAATAGCATGAGGAAGATGATAAAATGACAGCATAAATCCAATGATTCCATCAAACAAATGTGTCCTCGCATACTTGCGTCCTAGTATCTGACACAAATATGTATGTTGTGTTATCATGCATGTTTCATCATCTGTTGCATTGACTTTCTGCCCTTGTCATCTGTGTTGAAAGCTATATGGTTTAGGACACGGAGAGAATAATTTAACTTGGATGTAAAGAGAATCTAAATGGGAAAATGGGAAAAGAATGCAAGTGTGATTTCATTCTGTTATGAGTTTCAGCCATACCCCATAGTTGTGTCAGAGAACAAGAAATATGTCTGAAATCTGGACTGTTCTGAATGTTTTGGTAACTGTGCAACGAACAATGGCAGTTTTGTGTTGTTTGAAATAAAAAATAACATTAGTGACTGCTTTTAGTGTGCATGAAGCAGGATTTCATCTCTTTAAGGAGACAAACTGCATTTGAAATTCTCCTTCTTTAATCTCTAGACCTTCCATATGTCCAGATCCTCTTATGTAGGGAATTAAGTACTTGAAAAAGTATTAGAATCTGAAAAAATGAATAAAGAAAGATGGGAAAATGAATTTCATGCAGCTCGGTGTTTTCAGCATGTTTACTCAGAAGCAAATCTTTCTAAATTTAATGTGGGGGATTAAGAAAATTTGCATAGCATTTCCATCCTAAATAATACCATGGGATAAATGATGTTTCCTGGCTCTTGTGTGAGTCATAATAGATCCTTCTGAAGACTTAGCTAAGATTCTTCTCTCTTCCTTGTTCTCCCATGCTTGGAATGCCTCCCTTAAATACATAATACAAAAAGTAGTTATTTAACTGATGTACTATTGACTTACAATCATAGGAGGAAACAGAAAGCTGTGATCCTACTTTGGGGAATACTTTGTAAAATGTTCAAGCAGATTCTTTTTCTCTTTAGCAGATGACACCAAGCCCCCACTTCCCCCTACCCTGGAGCCCACAGGACCTGCACCCTCCCTATCGGAGCTGGACTCTCTGCAGGACCCTCCAACTCTCAAACCCATTAGCGAAAGCAAGTCCTTGAACAGACTGCATAAACGGCTGAAGTCCGAGGGTGAGCTCTTTGATAAGAAGACGCTGCAGAGGGAGAGCCACCACACCTTCCAGCGCTTGCTCAGCGACAACGGCCTGAATGGATTGGCCCTTCAGGCTACGGGCACTTCTGCCAGCCTCCCGTTTAGTGGAGTGGGCAGGCGGACTTCTGTCCTTTTTAAAAAAGCCAAGAACGGGGTGAAACTACAGAGAGATCTGGACTGTCCCCTTGAGAATGGAGAGGACCACGGCCAAAGTGGGCAGCTCTCCCCCTCCAGCATAGAGGGTGAGCAGCCATCTCGGAAACAGCCACAGAGTGGGAGCTACAGCGAGAGCGATGACGAGAAATCCCCCAGGCAGGCAGGAGTGACAGGTGACTCCCCTGAGCTTTCATTCCTCTGATGTTTTGGAAAGTCAGAGATTTCCAGAGTAAGGGTATTGGCTGGCTGGCTGGCTGGCAAGAAATGTCCATATCTCTATACCGTCCAGCATTTCCCTGAGTCACTTTGATCACTGGGTTCTGTTTAGTTTCTGTCATAGGAACCTTCACACCAGGCTCCAGTGATATTAAGGATGAGAGAAAGCTATGGGCCCCAAAGAGAAGATTAGCCTGAGTTGCAGAAGATATGCTGACCTTTTGATTTGTAATTGATTGGCTTATTTTTTATTATTATTATTATTTATTCTGTTGCTAGGACTGTTTTTGGGAGGATTTGGCACATTTAATAGTTTGAGATATAAGAGTAGAAAGGGTATAAGTTTCTTTATTTTCATCCCAAAAATGTTTCCCCTTGCCTAGACCTCTTTTCATATTTTTATTTGGGGTTCGGTCATTATGTATATTACTTTTTATAACTCTTTCATTGGAATGAATCCTGACACTATTGAGATTTTTTTTCAGTGAACATTTGCTGTTGACACCGGAATCTTCTCCATTGCTTTTAGAATAGAACAAAATAATGTGCCAAATACAAGTTTGATGGTGCCTGGAAAAATGCAACAATATTAAAACTTCACTTATTTAGAAGATCTGAAATATTAAACAGCAGGATCTATCACTTCTGTGAATGTGTCTCTGAATTTAGGGCTCATGTGATGACTCATAAGTGAGTGTGTGATCAGGCTCCCCTGAAAAACATATTTAAAAATACTCATATTTGAAGTTCTGCCAATGATATTTGATTATTCACATGTGGCAGTTAATATTTGATGCTGCAGTCATTACATAGTGAACATTGATCTGTGAGCCCTTATATTATTTCAATATTTAAAAGTGAGAGGATCAAATTATCCTTTATATAGAGAGAGGATTACTTTATGAAACAAGGTGTCATGGTTCTGACAGATGAAACTCTTCAAAAGAACTTTGAGGCATTGTTTACCTTAAAGAATCTTTATTTTGAGTAGTATAATATTGGCACTGCATAATCGAAGCCAAAAACTGAATTCCCCTCCCCTGAGCACATAGTATCAAAGCACAATTCCCTCCTTCAATTAACCGTCATAAATCACATTCCCCATTAGCTTGAAGCTACCTTATCAGCTCTGGTTACAATAACCTTGTTTCTCAGGCTAGGTTTAGTTTGGTTATGTCTAACTGGACTCTCGTTCACATCCCCCCTCCCAGTATCATCTAACTCTAAAAGCAAAAGGTAAAATATGGCTACATTTCCATCTGTTGTCAATGCAAAAACATCCAGTGTTAGCAGCGTTGACACAAGGCTTTATGAGAGGCTTTTCCTTCATAATCCAGTTTGGGAATGTTGAATGGATAACCATTCCAACCATTCCAGTATTTTTTACTTATGTGCTCCACAGAGTACTTTTATTTATCTATCAAATTTATATGGCTGCCCATATCACAAGAAGTGACTCTGGGTGGCATAGAGTAATCAAGTAAAAAGCAACAATGATTTATGAAGAACAAAAATTTCCCTGAAAACTGTCTAAAAGAGACAAAATATATATCAGTAATTTTAATATATTGCAGGACCAAAGACGTGTTTTCTTAAGTAGTACATAACTCTGATAATATGTTAAAATCATGAGTCTGTCTTCAATCTAGTACCGAGGAGTTATGTTTTGTGAGAATTGTCATATTTCGGGAGCATCCAATTTTGAGAAACTTGCAGCAGGTGAAATCTCCCACTTAGGTATATCCCAAGGTGTTTTGATTTTTATGTGTTTGGGTTGTTGAAGGTACAGTTACAGTAAAAATGAGGGTGCCGTTGGAAGAATTGAAGGAGCACATTAGGGACAGATTGTCATGAAGAATATCTATGTGGTTGCAAAGAGTCAACAATGATGTGGTGTCATATAATCAGTGATGTGTGTTTGTGCCTGCATCCATGCTTTATACATTTGTGTAGTCTTATTTCAAAGGCTTATATACAATAGCTGGTCTTATGTATCACCTGCTGGTCTCCAGTCCAAATATTAATTAAACCTAACCCTGCTTTGCTTCTGAGCTCAGCAGAAGCGATCAGCTTAGTGTGTTAGGCTTACATAGCAGCTGTTGTTTAAAATAATAGACTATCAGGGTAGTTTTATATTCTAGTTTGGCTAGTAAGTGCAGCGGTTATTTTTTCCCATTTGAGGCATTTGTGTGACAGCTCAGTGATTACCAAAAGATTCTAATACTCTGCTGAAAACTCTTTTCATTCAGACTTCTTCCCCTTAGACTCCATCCTTTTTATCTTTTTGTTCCTGATTAGAAAATTATATAGTGAACAAAAGGGAGTTTTCTGCTTTTCTTCTCATGATAATTATAAGGACACATTTGTTAAGAAAAAGACTGAAGACTAATTGGCAGAAAATAAGATCAAATTGTTTATTACTGTCAGTGGTAATACTTTACAAAATAGAATGGTTTCATCCTTGTATTTTGAGGGGGTGATATGGATCTTTTTTTAAAAACAAACAAACAATCACATCCATAGGGAGTCTTCTTGAGGCTAATGTATTTCATGAATGCTTAGAGGAGCATTTTATTTGGGAGCCAAGTTTGTGGTTGTTCCTCTGACTGTTATTCTGTCACCCATGGAATCCAATATTTTCTCATCCTGAATGCTGATTCAGTGGTTCCATTTAGCTATTTTCTATGACCATGAGATCCTGTTCTTGTTCAGTCTAATATTTAATCAGTTAATGGCCATTTGAATCATATTTGCCCTTTAATTGCCAGTTCACCAAATCTGAAGATATCCTTTTGGAGCATTTTACATCAGAGGAATAATTTTGGTGTTGGCAACTTGTTGGCGATTTTACTGCTCAGTCTTGATTCTAGTTAAATGAAATGCATTATCATAATAAAAAATAATAGCTCATACACGACCTGAAAGAAAATGGCAAATTGTCATTTTAATAGGTCTGGAACACTTTTAGCATATGTAAACCTCAAACAGATCAGGCAAATAAGGCAATATTGATAATGATATCGATATCTCTAAAGCATTTAAACCCTTTTACATAGGCAGGAGGCTTAAACAATATGTGGTGATGCTATTATTAATCACTCCCAAGACAGCTGCTTTTGTAGGGGGGTTTCCTTTTATACCATCATTGTAAATTTTATTCCCATTTTCAATGTCTTTAGTTGGATAGGAATTATTCTATAAGAACTAAGCTCAAAAGTGAATATATGTTTATACCCTTTTCATGTTAAAATTTATCTTCCTCTATATGCACATTCTTCTTCTAGAACCAAGAATATTACTACTTTTTATACCTTTACACTTTATAATACATATAATAACAAGTATTAGTGAATATATAGAAGATAGTTAAACAATTTTTTTCTTTAGAATCGTCATAATAAAGGAAATGACAGTAGGGAGAAAAGTAGCACCTTTGTTATAGTACAAATGCATGATAATATATTGGGATTATATAAAGACAGAAACATATTCTCAGAAGAAAAGTAATGAGGTGCCCAGGGAATTCCTGTTTGAATGAATATAATAATAATAATCAAACTTTAAAACAACAATTTAAAAGGATAGGGATAAAAGAGTTAGCAATTGAAAAATAATGGCTGAAATGAAGACTATTCCAAAATTAATTCTATGAGGGACTGATAGAATTACTGATATACAGTACTATTTTTATGGGATAGTTATATTCAGGCAAAATCTAAATATATATGTAGAATATTAAGTATGCAATTCAATATGAACTATATATTTATAATCATACTAAAAACTAAAGCTTTGTAATCTCAAAACTTTGTGTCAGAGATCAGCTATAATCCATATACCGTATTAGGTTTGCATGCTGTGTGTTTTCATTCTCTTTCAGTTATCTGTGTCCAGCATAACTTTTAATTTAAAAACATGGTTAAAGAAACTATAACGTTTAATACTTCTTGACCTAGGAGATGTTTACAGAAAGACAGTAAATGTTCATATACATACAAATGTTCCAACTTTACTACAGTATATTCAAGATTCTCTTGGTGGTCAGGGCACCTGCATAAGATTGCAGAATATAATTCTTGAAATACTCCCCCCCCCCCAACTACTGCATTGAATTATCTGTTTTATTCTACTATTTCTCCTTTTGTAATAATGCACAAGAAGAAAGATAAAATTACCTTGTAGTGACTTTCATGCTGGGAAAAACAATGCAGTTGGAAATGCAGTGAACATGTATTTTGAATGAGTTCTATTAGTTTGAAAGGATAATTTGGAACTAATTGGCTTCTTTATTATTTTTTGGAAATAAAACAAAAAGCAAAATGTGCATATAAAACTAAAAGTGTTATCCTCTTAACTTTATTTGGAAAAATACCATCTGAGAGGATCAAGGAAAAGTAGGATTCTATTAATGAGATTGTCCCTAGAATAATTACTTTGATAAATATCTCCATTGGGCTTTAAATTCAAATGTTATGTTGTAATTAGGACAAGAAGTTAAAATTGCTCACATTTTCCCCAGGGTCTATTGTGCGTCATTTAATAATACAAATATTTCACTTTCCTGCCCCACAGTTACTCTATCTGGATTAATGTAATCTATTGTGTTAACCACATAAAGCTTTATTGGGTTCAACGCAATGGCATCATAAATAAAATTTGGAACTCACAGGATGCTGGTGATTCTGGCTCAGATTTGAAAAGCTAAAGCAACATTATAAGCTCTGCTATGCCTACACCTGAGTTTCCCTAAGCACGATGAAGTTGTGAAAGTGAATGTTCCTAAACTTTTCTCTGACTGCCAAAACAGCTACATTAAGTTCATTTTACTGCACAACCAGGTCTCTAGTAGATATCCAGATGGCAAATGCCCCTGGGCTGCCACTGTGCAAAAACATTAGGAAGGTTATGCCAACTGTTGCCTTAAATCTTAAATGCATTTTGAATGTAATTGAATGTGCTCGTCTAACCTCATTAGCTGGACTGTATACCGGTAATTGTGTTTGAGCTTTCCTTGATGAATCTCTGAATATCTTTTGAAGAAAAATGTTATGTGTAACTAGACTTGTTTTTGTCTGTCTCCTCAGCAACTGTGACCAATGGCTTCAGGAAGCATACAGAAAGTGGGTCTGATTCAGAATGTAGCTCTGGACGGGGCAGCGGTCTTTCATTGGACATATGCAGGTAAGACCTCTTTTGGGTGGTTGCATTCAAATAATTAGAATTCTACTAATTTTATATTATGTAGTAGGTTGCAGATTTCAGGGTGAAAGTGATTGTTCCTGCCTTATATTTTGGGCAACCTACAACACAATAGTAATGGTAGGACTCATATTTGCAATATATTTTTATCTTGTAGTAGAGTTTCCCAAACTGAGGCATATCTCCCTTGGGGAGGTGTAGACAAAGTCCAGGGGAGGTGTGAAGAACCTTTTAGTTACGATATATGGTTGCAACAAATCCACTTTTTCCAAAGTTTCATTGTATTATTTTCATTGTTCATTTGTGTCCATTTTGGTGATTGGATTTTTATAGGAGGTATATATATTAGGATTACACTAAAAGGAGATATGGCAGGTGTGGTGGCAGAAAGTTTAGGAATCTCTGCCTTGTAGCATATTTATTTTCTGTCTCTTTCTTCATTTAGCACTAATATTTTAAAATTAACTTACCTGATGATTCCAAGATATATGGGTACTGTAAGGTCAAGAATAAATTCCAATCCAACTTTTAGGAAAGTTTCCTACGAAAAAAATGGTTTGGCTTGTCCAGTAAACATCTAAATCCTTTTAGATTTACTTCCAAACTTTTGCCCTAGAAATTATAGAGCCACATTATCTCTACTAACTCTTCTTATCTTGTCATAGTCTATCTTTCTCAACAGTGTGAAGCCTCCTTGGCATTTGCTTGCTTCCTCATTCCTCCTATACAATTCCTGGGAGCAGCTCATCATTATTTTAAAGATATAACAGAGCTCCTCTCTGAGGGAGATGAGCTGTTTAGAAATAGGAAATAGAAAACAATCAATCCATCAATCAGTCAATCATTTAGCAATTATTTTGTCCTTGTTTTTCTTCATGTGGTTTCAGTTGCCCTGCAGATATCCATATCATGTAAAGGATGCTGAAATTGCATATCAAGCCCAGAGGAATGGCTTTCACACTAGCTTGTGTGAAAATAACACTTCTAGAAAATAACACTCCTTTGTGACTTGACTCTTTGGTTTCCTTTAGTTCATGACATGATGTGAACTGAACTGAAGCTAACTATCAAATGTTATTTATTATGTAACTTTCTTGTCATACCTCCTTTTTTCACAGTAGTCCGCCACCACATAAACGTAGCCGAGGAAAGCCTGCTCTTACACGGGTCCCTTTTCTGGATGGTGTAAATAAAGATTTGGTATATAGCAACTCAGGTGAGATAAAATATGCACATGAAATTAATATTAGTAAGATATAGGTGCTATTTTTCATGTTGATTATGCCACAGGAGAATAAGTCTGCAGTTCTCTGCATATTTCTGTGGAGTTAAACACTACCAAATTCAGTGGGGCTTGCTTTTGAATAGTCACAAGAATAGTTTGTCAATTTATTCTTTAAACCTATGATGTCAGAATTTGCAGCTTCTGAAATTAAGCAAGTGGTATAATCTATTTCCCTGAACAGCTACTAGAATTCATTTCCAAATTCCTTATCCTTCTCAGCCATTTGTCATGAGCTGTGGTGGCACAGTGGTTAGAATGCAGTATTGCAGGCTAATTCTGCTGACTGCCAGGAGTTCAATCCTGACTGGCTGAAGGTTGACTCAGCTTTCCATTTTTCTGAAGTTGGTAAAATGAGGACCCAGATTGTTGGAGGCAATATGTTGACTCTGTAAATCAGTTAGAAAGGGCTATAAAGCACTGTGAAGTGGTATATACCGTACTTTCTGGCGTATAAGACGACTTTCGCAAGTGGTAAAATCGGCGCCGAAGTCGGGGGTTGTCTTATACGCCGAGTCGTCTTATACGCCGGAAATTACGGTAGTTTCCGGCGTATAAGATGACTTTCTAGGCATGCGACTCGGCGCCGAAGACGGGGGTCGTCTTATACACCGGGTTGCCTTATACGCCGGAATATACGGTAAGTCTTAGTGTTATTGCTATTCCTATGAAGGCGAAGATGTGAGTGAGCTCAGAAAGACAGCAGGGAATGGGGAGAAACTATTTTTGCTCCAGCAAAAAAGCAGTGCTTTTTTGTAGAGGGCCTAATCATGAGGAAGTTCTCAGGAGTCATAGCTTCAGCCAGCAGTTTTCATTCTATCAAATCCCCTTACTTGATGCGTTTAACTATTCCACATTATATAATTATAGTACATTATGGAATACAGTTACTTTGGGGAACAGGATATGGATATAGGAATGCTGAGTAAAGACATTTAAAATCTTATACAATGTATTCACAGTACAAAATGCTTGTCTATACTAAACAACGAGACTCTGCAAGACTTTGTAGAAACAGTCAGTCGTTAAGCGAATTATCTGTTCATAAATCCATAATCCAGCTTATCTAAAGGGTGTTTTTTGCAAGAAAATGGCAAAAAAAGTTGCAAAACATGATCATGGGTCATAAATATAAGCTGATTGCCAAGTGCCCAACACGTGATCATGTGATTGTGGGAGTGATATGACAGTCATAACTTTGAGGACAGGTTGTAAGTAACTTATTTTGAGTCTGTTGTTAAGTGATCACTTGTAAGTCGATGACCACCTGTGGTCTAATATTTGTTGGTGAAAATATTGGTTATGTATGCAAGGACGGGACTCACTGGAAAAGGGCCTAATGCTGGGAAAGATTGAGGGCAATAGAAGAAGGGGACGACAGAGAATGAGATGGCTTGATGGAGTCACTGAAGCAGTAGGTGTGAACTTAAATGGACTCCAGAAGATGGTAGAGGACAGGAAGACCTGGAGGAACGTTGTCCATGGGGTCGCGATGGGTCGGACACGACTTCGCAATTAACAACAACAAATGCAAGGACATAAGACAGTTCTTTTATCAGTCATTCCTGTGCTAGTAGAAGATTTGTGTCTTGGGTTGTTCTCCTTTTAGAAGACTGAGGATGGTTGGAATAGGACACTTGTTTCACTGGCATTGTGGGAACATTCATGAGTTTTGCCCTAATAACATCATAGGATTGTCCTGCCTAATTTGCAGTATATTTCTTTTGTGCCAAATTGATTATTAGAGACTCTGTTTTATCAGTTTAAAAGAAGAAAGCGGTAGGATAATTTATAAGTTATTGCCTTCTTTATCTAATATGCTATTTTTATTTTTATTCAATTTTGTTTTATTATATCTATTTTAATTAGTGTGTAAGACCTAGCTTTAAGTATAGTCTATGCTTCCATAGCAATAACACAATGAATCTTCATTGTTATGATTGATGAATCTGGCATAGCACAACATAATCCTAAATTGACTGTATTGTATTGTATTGTAACTTCTTAGGAAGAAACTTGCTGATGTCATTTGAGGAACACGCTGACCTAGAACCTCTGGAGCTTGTGTGGGCAAAATGTCGTGGCTATCCTTCTTACCCAGCACTGGTATGTATCTAAGGCTAAGCCAGCAGTACTTCTTCTTGGAAAAAGAAGTTAATTCTATTGAAGAATTGTGCATAAGAACAATCTCACTCAGCATTTTTATATTTTCCTCCTGCTGAAAGGCAAAATAGTACACCTGCTTTGAAACACCAAACAGCCTCTAATTATTTTAAGATTATTTGGGGTAGATTTGAATTTTCAGAATTCAGTTTGGTAATTTAATTATTACTTGTGTTTATTAATTGTTTATTTTTCTCCTTCAATTTAAAAGTCATATTCTTAAGTCTCCATTTTATATATACAGCTAATGTTGCTCTGTTCAAAATTTATTGAGTTTAAATAATAAATAGTAAATTAAATTAGTAATAATTAACTTGTATAATAATATTGTGGGTTAATGTTTATAAGATGAATTACTGTATTTCACTTTTCTGAGTTAGATTCCTCTCTGTGTTTACTAATAGTTCATTCTCTAATATTAGGAATCTAGAATTTTAGAATATTGTTCTAAAAATACATTATCATGACAGCAAAATGCCAAAGTCACTCATTTATTCTATAATATTTTACTCTGCTTTTCACAAAGTAAATTTGAAATAATATCTGCCTTAAGGTAGATGATTATGTAACTTTATATAAATTCCAACAACATAACTGAGAAGAAGTACAAAGAAAATGCAGTGCTAATATTTTTATTTTAAAATAATAATTTTATTAAATGTTTTAAAAGAAAGAGATAAATACTAATACAACTAATATAAAATAAGAAAGAAAAAAGAAATTTAAAAAAGCTAAAGTTCAGGAAAGAATACAAAGAAGTGGCGGTTATAAATATAATTATAAATTTACATCTTTCTCTAATTACATCATGATTCTCCTTCTCTAATACGCCCTGCCTATTATCAAAACTATAAATTCATTTTCTTCAGTTTTGCACAAAAAGTCGATCAAGATTTTTGAGTATTTGCCTATTTCTCATCTATAAATGCTTCTGTGTCAGATTTACAAAGGAGTTATCAGGGCACAATCTATGCATTTGACTCTATTTCTTATTCTCAATAGGGTACATTTAACATAATATCTAAAGGGTACATCGAACATAATTTTTAAAATCCACATTAATCTTGATTTTATTATACTACAAATAACTATGCCACCCAAATCTCGGATCATGTCCTTTTGCAGCCATGTTGCAGAAATACAATTACAAATCAGATAAACCCAATACTCTTTCTTTTGCATCTTATAATACCATATATTTAACCTTTGGTCGTTTTCGCCTGCCTCACAAATTAAATATATCCTTTTGCCATTGTTAAATGGTGCATCAGTTGTCAAAGCAGGTATTGTCTAAATCAGGGGTCCCCAATCTATGGTCTGCGGCCCGAGACTGGGCTGCAGGCTCATGGCCAGCAGGCTGCGGAAATGGCTGGCTGGTGCACGAACGTGTGGGCACACATTCCCCCCACTTGCACTAATGCTCGTGGTCCTGTTTGCGCAGGCGCAAATGCGGATGCTAGCGCAGGGCAGGTGTCCATGGCCCGTTTGCGAATGCGCCGCTTGCCTGGGTGGTTTGTGTGACCCGTTCACCGCCGTTCATGTGAACAGGCCTGTTAGCACCGTGCCAGTGCATGTGGCCCCATGTGCACACGCGCATGCAACAATTTTGAAGCTACTCTCCTTCCCTCTGGTCCTTGAGCCTGGAAAGATTGGAGACCTCTGATCTAAAACAACACATCATTCTATACAAGACATTCATTTGTATCACAGAAATTCTCCCTAACAATAACAATTGTAAATTCTCCCATATTAATATATCTTTTTAAATTTCATTTCATGTTTTAACACTAAAATGTAATAAGTGCTAATACTTTCAAGTGAGTTCTCAAATCCAGTTAAAATCTATGATTTAACCTCAGAAATCTGAGATATTAGATTCAGGCTATATAAAAGTGTGCCTTGTTCCATAGGAAAATAACAAAACAAAATAAATTTTTATAACTAAATTTGATATACATAAGGGCTTCATGTGTACGTGTAGGAATAATATTTTATACAACATTTTCAATAAACACCTTCATGGTACAAGAGAGTGATTAATCTGTTTTTCATGCTGGAAGTTATATCTTTGAGCTAAATTTCTGTGACTTGTGTTAAATCTCCACTGTCTTTTGCTCTTTGCTTTTAGATCATTGATCCTGAGATGCCACAAGAGGGCCTCCTTCACAATGGAGTCCCAATCCCTGTCCCCCCCCTGGAAGTGCTAAAATTAGGTGAGCAGAAGCAAGCGGAGACTGGAGAAAAACTTTTCCTTGTCCTTTTCTTTGACAACAAGAGGACATGGTGAGTCAAATAAACAAATGAAGGGGAATAACTTCTTTTCTTTGGACCATAGCATAGCAAGTATTTATTTTAATTAATGTAGCAAGCTTGTTGATGATTGAGGGAGGTTTCGGCTATGCAACTGAGTAGCAAGCCAAGAATTGATTCTTCTTCTAGTGCAGTGGCTCCCAACCTTTTCTATACCCCACACCCCTAGAACGCTTCTGATATATTCTTGCACCCCTTACAAAAGTTTGAAATGAATTATGCATATACACTATAATTTTGAAAACCCAAATTTTCGTACCCCCTGGAATAACATCTCGTACCCCCAGGGGGTGCAAGCACGCCTGGTTGGGAACCCCTATTCTAGTGAATCATAAGTATGTCTTCTGTTTGTAACTGCACTAAGTGCTCTAGCTTGTTTTTGCTAGAGAGTATACATTTACTAACACTTTATCATGCATTAGTGCAACTTGAACATTTAAAAGTCATAGAATGGGTTGATTTGTACAATTTGTAGTGCTCTCAATTTCTTCATTGTCTCCATAATAATGATCTCTCTCCCTCCCTCCCTCCCTCCCTCCCTCTCTCTCTCTCTCCTTCCTTCCCTCCTCTAGGCAGTGGCTTCCACAAGAAAAAGTTCTTCCTCTTGGAGTAGATGACACTGTGGATAAACTCAAGATGCTGGAAGGACGGAAAACCAGTATCCGGAAGTCTGTCCAGGTTGCATATGACCGTGCAATGATTCACATGAGCCGCGTTCGGGGAGACCATCCTTTCGTCACCCCCAATTATCTGTAGGAAACCTGTTCTACCCATCCTGTAGGAAGTAATGTCTGCATCCGCAGGCAAAGTGGATCAACTATATCCTGAGGAATATGGGATTTTCCTGCCTATAGGAAGATACAATTGCCATATTTGCATTCTTAGTAGAGACACGGTATTTCCAACAGTAGGGAAAGTTCATGTTACATACTTGATATGTGCCAAAAAGTCTGCCTGGTTTCTTTCTGAACATGTTTCCCAAAGGATCCAGGTGGGAAAGAAGTGATGTAGCAGCCTGACCTAGTAAGAAGATGTTAGGAGCAGCTGCACTATAATGCTGCAACCCTGACAGAATCTTAGAAAATTTGCTGATTGAACAAGAAGCCCTACCAGACTCTTGAGTTTTTAAACTTCAGCTAGTCCTGAAGCAGCTGTGGAGTTTATTGCTTCTGCTATGAATTGAGGGTCTTTTTGATGACTCTTGTGTGCCAAATGTTCACTAATATTCCCCATATATTTTCATGTTATTTTTGAAAAACACTGGTCCCCCTCCCCCTTTCAATTACATTTGCAACCCTGTGTAGAAATCTCTAAATTTGTATATGCTTTTATGTTAGAGATTACAATAAAAAAGAAAGATAGAATATTTGGGGGGTAACGCCCCTTTCCTGATTTTCTGTCATGCTCACATTCACAGAGCTTTAAATATGAAGAAACCCCTTGGGAGATATTTTCTGTGATTTTTACATTTCAATTTCAGATTCGTATACTTCTGAAAATTGATAAAATAATATTTTAAATGTTATTTTACAAATACTTATGCTGCTAGAATGTCGTTGCTAGATATGAAGGTTTATTGTGAAATGAGGAAAAAGCAATCTTTATGGTATCAAAAACATTTCCCCCCCACATTACCCCTGTTCATGAACAATGTCACTGAAGCCCTGTCTCACTTGTCATGCCTGTTCTTCAGGAAACCACAGCATCCTGTCCGTTCTGTAGGATTTCTAGACATGGAAGCATCGCCCTGTTTGGGTTTGGGCCATTAAGCATCACATTGCACATTTAGAGCTTTTTCCAGCTTTCAGTACTAAGTATCTGCTTATTTAGAGTGCCATATGTACTTTGATGTAGGCAGTTCTGGACTAGGGTAATCATGTAGAATCATGATTCCTCTTTACCTGAAGAAATGAGAATTAAATTGGAATGTGTTTGTCATTCCTTACAGTCACTCTTGGCCACCCCATAAATACTTCAGCATTTGCTTTCATGCTCTCTGAGCTTCCGTTATTGGGATCTGTTAAAAATAGAGCACAACCTCTTGGAGAAACCTATTTTTTTTAACTTGCATACGCTACAAAAAGAGGAAGAGCTGAGCTCTGCAAGTTAACAATGTATTTCATATGTAACATTTGATTTTATGAAGTTTTTTTTTTCCGTTTAAGAATTTCAAACCAAAGGTACAGAGCAAGATTGTAATTTGAAAACCATTGTGTTTTTTTTCTTCCCTTTTCACTTCATTATTGTTGTTATTTTCTTATGAAGAGATTGTGGAACAAATGTTATTGTGGGAAAATCACTGCCATTTCTATGTGGTCTTTTTTTCAAGAACCACATGTTGTACATTGGGACATAAAACCACACTATATGGGAAATATCTGTAACATATACAGAACATGAATAGGAATCTTTTTTTAAAAAAAATAGTTAATATCTCAAGAGTGTGGTTACAGAAGGAACTTTTGTACATAATTGTAAACTACTGTTCTAAATTATTATTCAGGCCGATTGTTAATCCTTAAGTCCTCAGTTGTGTTGCTGGGTCTTTTGTATGCATACAGTATAATTAATTTAAAGAAACATACATTTCCCCAGATTGTAACCTGGTTGTTGACTTGTGATTTATGTTTAACTGTTTTAAGATCTTGCATTTTAATTTCTTTTTTTTTAAAATTACAATTTAAGGATTTGAATTGGCTAATATCCTGCTGTTGCTATGGGACCTAAATGTGACTTGTCAGTCTGCTGTAAAGCACAGATGGCTCTATTTATTGTAGAAAGTGAGTTTATTTGCTTTCTAGAACTGTTTATATCAGATGGAATAAGAGGTAATAAATTCTATGCTTGTAAAGAAAAATGCTAATTTTACCTACTATAATCTGACTGTCTGAAACTATATTTTCTCTCTGAGAAATAAATGTTCTAATGTAAAATATCTGATTGGACTATTTTAGCTGGGGAAATTTCTTTCCTGAGTTGGACTCTGAAATGAAATGATTTGTCAATGTATTTAGAAGATTTCTGAGTAGCTGCTCTTGAAAACACCATAAGCCATTTCAAAGGCTTTCCTGTTTCCAGATACACTGTCTAGAACAGTGGTTCTCAACCTGTGGGTCGGGACTCCATTTGGGGTCGAATGACCATTTCACGGGGGTCGCCAAACAACGCAGTCCGCCATTTCCCCCCCCCCTTTTCTTTGGCCACGCCCCTGGCACCCGGTGATGTATAAGTGGTTGGGGGTCACCACAACATGGGGAACTGTATTATGGGGTCGTGGCATTAGAAAGGTTGAGAACCACTGGTCTAGAAAACCGTGGGGTATGGAAAAGTGACTCCAAGCACAAACAAAGCTGGTGTATAGATATGTTGATGCACTTCCACATTAGAATATCTGCATGCCAAAGCAACTTTGCCCGTGAAATAGCCAAAAATAGGATCATCATTGATAGTTCAGGCACAGAAAGGGCAGTTATATGCCAAATTGATAAATGTAATGCATACTGATTTCTGAAGATGTCAGCTCAAAGAACTTACTTTGCCCCATGAGTATTTTAATTTATCAGATGTTAATACACAAGGTCTCCTCCCCAATCCACATTGGCCTTTTTCAAGATGGAATATATTAAGGAGGAGGGCCAAGTATCTTGTTAAAATCTTGGTTTAAGACTAATCTTTGTCCTTCCTGTCATATCAGTTTGGGTGATTATGAGAGAGCAGGCCTTTGAGCGGGATATTCATGTTTTCACTGAGTAATTCTATATGCAAACCTCCAACTACAGAAATTTCAGGACTTGTATTACGTTGCTTGTTCTTCCATTTCTGTTTTCCGATCCAAAGGAAATATGCATGGGCTGGGATGAATGTAAGTGAAGTGATAAAAGTATAAGAACTTCTGGTTGTTTATTCCTATTTGTATTTCATTAATTCATGCAGTGAAAAACCCTAGGTCATAATCCTACTGGGTGGGATTATACTACATGTTATATAAATGGTGGAACAGGGAAATCCCATGTTTGCATCTTGAGTAGCCTTACATTTTCTTTGACTCTCAGGCATAGGAATGTTGGCCTGTGATTGGTTTAAACTGATTATGTTTTTATGTTATAGGTAATTTTATTTGTTTGTTTGTTTATTTATTTATTTATGGAATTTATGTGGCCGCCAATTCATTCACAGTGAATCCAGATCTTACAAAAAAAAAATCCAATACAAAACCTAATAAACCTTAATCCCCCTGTTCTGGCAAGAACAATTAAACCAATCACCTTGGGGTCTCCAGGCCCATTGGCAAAATGAGGTCTTCAGGGCCTTTTGAAAGAGTGTCAAGGTGAGGACCAATTTTATTTCTGCAAAGATGATGTTCCACAGGGAGGGAGCCATCACAAAGAAGGCCAAGACTTGGGTCTACCAGTTAAGATGCTGTCACTATTGCTCTGTTCTGGGATATTATTATTGAGGAAGAGTTTTTCTGCTTTTACTGGTGCAAGGCCACTAGGATTGTTTGGCCTCTTGACTGGCTACCAACCTGCTTTTTTCCTATATATATTTTCCAGTTTGAAAGTTTTTATTTTTTTCAAAATAATTATTTTCTTTCCATATTTCTAAAGATAATTTAATTCTGCGTTAAATTCTGCAAGGATCTAATACATAGGTTCAGCACTGGGGCCATCAGCATTGATCTCACAGAAGAATTTGCTTAAAGAAGAATTGGTGTTCTGGGTGCCAGCTATTTCCCCCTCCTCATTTAATTGCTGTTTCAGAATAACTCTGCAGGCTTGAATCTGCACTTCTTCCTCGGGATGAATGATGAGGGAGAGAAGACAATCAGCTAGCCGAGAATTGTTTCCAAAAAGGACCTCATGAAGTGACAACTCATTGTATTGCCAGTGCCCTGATTGGTAGTGGGGAGTCAGGCGACCCTCACAGAGTCGTTCCACGAGCACTAGCAGCTCAAAAAGCAGGCTTCCAAGCTGGGAAGGTTGGAACAGGCTGAGGAATTCTGGATGCACCTTAAAAAGGGAAATGTAATGAAATGTAAGCCTTAAAGAAAAAGATAAAACGATTATCTAACAGACTGTTCGTGTTCTACTGGCTAATTGATTACATCTTCTTTTGAGGGTAAGAGACTTCAGATTCTTTTATAAGAAATTATCTCACGACAGGAAAAATGTATTTTTTTTTCTGAAATCTGACATACTCTATGTTGGGATGCAATCCGCAGAATGTTCAGATATGAATTGCACTGTCAGCATGTTGGGAAGATACACATTAGGGTATCTTCCAGTTACGTACTTGTTTATGTCTCTTTGATTAAATAACTACTTAAAAATCTACTTTTGCTCTCGGGTATTTTACTTCCTCTGCCAAATATCCCTGTGGGGGGGCGGGGGCGGGAGGAAATCTTTACCTGGCAATTCATGATATCAAATAACAGTTCTTCCTTCTGGGCTAATGTGCTAAGGAATTTTAGAATCTGCACCTGAAAAAAAAAACACCTTTCAGACAATATAATCATTAAAGGTAGGAGGCTTATGTATACCATGACTTCTTCATTGTGCCCCCCCCCCAAAAGCTGATGATATTAGGAGTTTGGGTTTAGAGCATGTTGGACAGTTCATGAACCATATAGTACCTGGGCCAAATTGGTCCCCATCTGCAGAATGTCCATTAATGTGGGCAAGAGCTTTTTTAGGAGGGGTTGCATGTGATTTGGCCACGGCAATCCATTCAGTAATCTCAGTCCAGCAACATGTATGTCGGTATCCCATAATTCAGTGATCATTTCAAGAATCTTGGGCATAAATTCCTGCACAGAACAAAACAGCATTTATATTTGTGAATAATAGAGCAGAAATCCTTTGTTTCAGAGGTGTGCTACAAGTAGCCTAGGCCAGAGGCTGCATTGCAAAAAGTAGTGAGTGCAATCAGAACAAAAATGGAAACGCAATTCATTTCACTTACATTTTAATTAAATATAGTTAATATGGTTATCCTCATGTCATGTATTTAATAATTTCCCCCTTCAATCACATTAATAATTACAATTTGATAACAATATTTAGAGCACTCTGGGGGTGCTGCATGCACTGAGAATAAGCCTCAGGTTGTGTATTTCAAACTATCATTGCAAACACCATTTGTATAAGAACTGATGCTTTCAGTTTCTCAGTTTTTGTTAATCATTAAAACACTAATATTTTTCTATAAATAATGTTTTTTTTTAAATGGATTTTCTTTTCCAAAATTAGAAAAAGCATTAACATACTGGGTGGTTCGTTTTGAGGATCTAGTAGCAGTCTTACAATAAATCTTATTCTTGGAATTATTTTGTTGTTTAATAATTGTTTACTATTCCAGATAAGTGTTAGATAAAATATAAATAGAACAATGCCTGAGCACCAGAGAGTCTCACAGGAATAGTTTAATTTCAGGTGAGAAGCAAGCCAAGAAAAGGAATTTATTTCCTGTCCCTTTGGGAGGAAACATTTTTTCCACTCTTGGTTTCACCTTCTAGAGAAGAGCAGTATCCTTCTAACACCAGTTCCTGAAGTTGAGCTTAAAAATAGAAGAGATGGAATTCCACAGGATCAAAGAAGCAACTCCTCTTGTAAAGTCATCTGTTCCTCCTTATAGTTGGGTAATGAAAGGAAAGGAGTGATTTCTTTGGAGAACCCAAGAGCTTGAAGTGACACCAATAGCAGTGTTTTTCCACAACTTAAGTGCAGCACTAGTGTCTCTATTGAACCAGAAAGGAAACACAAGTGCCAAGACCATGTAAAATAAAACCAAATGGTATTAGTAAACAACTTACAAACTGGCAGTCTCTGAAGATATGCAGGGTATTTGGAAGTTACAGGACTTCCCTTTCTTTAGAGCAGCTGCAAAGACAATAGCTGCGCAGGGTAAGCCACAGTGCACCTACAGCTGTCAAAGACTTTAGCTGCCCCCAAGTTGATATTTGTGGGACACAAAAGTACTCTTAAGGTTTTGGCAAACAAAATTATTTATCACCGATAAACCAGGTGATCAACAAAAATGGGGCTCTTGTTCCAACATCAGCCAGTGGTTAAGCCAGTGTCTTACTCTGGCACATTCATGCATAAAGCATCTTATGACTTGCCCCAAGAATAAAGCTATGGTAGATGTCTCAGCACCATTGCTATAGTGACCAAGGATCATAGTTGGATTTATCATGAATAAATCTTAAGTAGACCAGATGATGAATCTAAGAATCCCATCCAGTTGAAAGAGGAAGAGATTTAGAGAACCATTTTGCGTATGGTTTGTTGATGTTGCAGTATTTTTCTAGTTATACTTGTGAGCTCAATTAATAAAGGGTAGGGTTCATTAATTGCAAATTGTAAGGTTGAAATCAACATCAGATTAACATTTCTGGCTGGGACTAATTTCTGGTGATAGAAGAGTATGTTATACCTAATAACTGATTATGCAGATTAAAATAATGCAGCTTTCTATAATTTCTTCTTTATACAGCAACTAGCATATCCCTTTGGAAAATCTGGACAGTTTTTTTCTGGGACACAAACATCCCTCCCCCCCTCCAGCAATTTATTTGTTGTTGTCATTGGTCCATGAACATTTTATTTTATTTCAAATGTATTATGAACATTGATACATTTTCAATTTCCTAAGGATATCCTGTGTGTCCTGCTTTTGCTGTGGGGGAAAAAAAACCTGTATTTTTCTGAGAGTTCAAAACATAATTTAGTAGCTGAGAAAAGAAAAAAGAACCAAACTTCCCATACATAACCTATTTGTTGCCAGATTAATTACGATTGGAAATGTCTCTTTCTAAACGTCTATTGTATTAGGCATATTTAGCAAAAAAAAAAAAAAATACATAACTCATTCCTATGCTAAATGCTTTCTTTTGATTTGTTATGCATTTAAACTAAATCCACTGCAAACTGTACATCCTAGTATTATATAATGTAGAAGTACACATCTAACCAGGGGCTGAACAGCAGTTTATCTACAAATAAACTAATAAACAGCTAAAGTGATTATTTTGGTTGTTTTTAATGAAAGCACAATCATAGATCAAATTTTGTGGCCAGCACATTCACAGCTTTTTTATATTTAGCATAGGATATGCTTATCTATGGAAAAAATTCACAGGTATAGCTGCACTCTTATAGATGACAATGACCATAATATCAAATGACAATCATTCACATGTGAATTGATACTGATATATGTATGTGTTTAGTACAAAAATACAGTACTATATACAAATGATCACCTGAATTCTGATTCTAAATTTCCAGATTCCAGCAAAAGCCTTGAGAGTATGCATTGTCTGAATCTTGACACCCATGTCTGAATCATCCAGGAATGAGGCTACAAGTTTAATATCCTCATAAGTACATGCAGATGCCTGGGAAAAAAATCAGAATCAGTGTGTGTGTAGATACATGTACGGCTAAGTGCGAGAAAGTATCTTCAATTCCATTTAATAGTTTGTAATTTTTCACATTCAAATAATGACTCTTAAGATTTTTATTTTAAAAGATGTGAAGTAACCAGTTATTTATTATTCTTGGCTATTCTGGTTTCCAAACTCCAACACATCAGAGCAGCTATCATGAGATTTTTTTTTTTTAAAAAAAAAAAAAGATCCCAAGAAAGAGTACAATACAAGATGAGCTTTATAAAGAATCCAAAACTTGTAAGAGAAGGAGGAGTCAAACAAATTAAGGAACATATGTCTGAAGCTTGCCAACTAAGTAATTACGATAGTATGATAACTGTGAAATAAATTTCTTGAAGTGGGGAGTTCAAGGAGTAGGGTGTTCATGCAGTAAACAATAAATAAATGTGCTGACATTGCTATGTTTGACTTAATCAGGCTTAACTGTGTTAGTTAAATAAACCTACCAACTCTATTGACACAATATATTAGCTTATTTTAACTCTGGTTAATTTTCACAGGTGTGAAAACTCAGCCCTTTTATTTTGTTTATGATTCAATACTTTGTGTGAATTTGGAAAAATGGTTAACTTAGAAACTGAGTTAAAGATGTGTAAAACAATCAAAGATTCCATTTCAGAAGAAGCAAGGCATAATACAAAGCTTAATTCTCACAGAAAAAGGAGAATTAGTAGGGCTACCAGATCAATCATGGTATCCTTCTGGGAATTGGGAGTAGGCGGCACTGATTTGTGCTGGTTTTCCTCTTCTCTCCAGGGATCAGTTCCAGTCAGTATTGATAGAGGGAGAGAGATCCAGCCCAGTGTCTTTATTTTGTGGGGTTTAGTTCTCTCTCCCCTTCTATTTTAACATTTATATGAGACTGCTGGGCGAGGTGATCCATCATTCTGGGGTGAGAAGTCATCAGTATGCAAATGACACCTAGATTTATATCTCTACTGCAGGCTCCTTGAGGGATGCCATGGATGACCTATCCCAGCTTCTGGATGCTACTGGGGACTGGATGGGGTGAACTGTCTCGGCCCTAGCAAGACAGTGGGTATTTGGGCCTCCAGAGACAAGGTTTTTCCAACTTTACTTCTGAATGGAGTTGCACTACCCCAGACAGACCCAATGAGCAATCTGGGATTACTTCTAGATACATGGCTCCCGCTCAAAGAACAAATGGCAGCCCTGGCTAGGACAGCCTTTGTATACCTTTGGGTACACCAGTTGTGCCCATTTCTGGATAGGAGCCCCTCTCACAAGGACTCATGCCCCAGTAACCTCTCATTTTTAGATTACTATAACATGCTCTACATGGAGCTGTCTCTAAAGAGCATTCAGAAACTTTAGCTGGTGGAGAATGTGGCTGTGCAGGTAGTAAATGGTGCTAGATATACTGCATATGTAACATCACTACTGTGTGAGCTGCATTGGTTATTGGTAAGTTTCTGGCTACAGTTCAGGGGCTGGTGGTCACCTTTAAAGTCCTATATGGCTTGGGACCAGATTACCCGAGGGACTGCCTTTTCCAAGAGCCTCTACACATCCAATTTGATTTAGCATATTGGGCATACTGCAGATCCTGTCAGCCAACAATTGTCAGCTGGTGAGGATTAGAAGATGAGCCTTTTCTGAGGTAGCCCCTGCTCAGTAGAATATCTTTAGAGATTAGAACAGACCCAACCCTGTTAGCCTTTTTTTAAGTCTCTAAAAACCTGGCTGTGTTTCTTAGCGTAGGGGTACAGAATGTGTCAAAGACCCTGTTTCCTGGCTTTATTATTCTGCCAAGTATCTTGGCTGCTGTGTATGTTTATTTTGAATTTTTATCATTTTAAAAATGCTTTTTTGTTTTAATTGTAGTATATTTTTTTGAATTATAAGCCTCCAAAAGTAATTGAGAGGGACAGCTATAGAAACTGAATGAATGAATGAATGAATGAATAGATTAAATAAGTAAATCTGGGGTGCAGGATTGACACAACCATTGCACGGGTGAAAGGAGTGGTCTGAATGATTTTTCTACCTCTAGTAGTCACTCAGATTTCTACAGCCCAGATCTACAGCTTCCACCTTAGGGATCAGGATTTCATGAATTTAATGTACTGCATTGTTTAAAAGAACTCATATCTAAATGCGGGACCAAGCATCCCTTTTCTCCCATGGAACTCAAGAAAACATAAACAGGGTTCCCATGCAATCAGGTGCATTCAGGTGCTGACCTCATCGGTTTCACTTAAGTTACTGCAGTGTCACCATAGATCTTCTGAACCAATTAGCATTCCTCTGAGGGACTTGCATCACATTTTGCACCAGCTGGTTTGAATGCAGGACTATTGGCCGAATGTATGATCCTTAAGAAGTAAAATGGTTTAGTGCTTGTAATGAATGAAGAAATGAATCCTTCTTTAGTTTTCATTTCTCTTTTGCAATGTAATCCCCATAAACAGGATTCAGAGAAGCTATTTATATTTAAAGATGCATGTCTGCCATCATCTAGTATAGTTTCATTCTGAACCTTGTTCCTTGAATTAAGCCCTGAGTAGCTTATTTATAGCTTATTTATGTATTTATAATACATCATTTTATTATACATCATATTCTGGACACTCACCTCTGATTCCAATAGATAAACACAACGGGTGATTCCATGGAGTATCATATTCTTAGAGTAAGCATCTAGCTTTGGATTGAGAGAGAGCAAAAGTCCTCTAAGTTCTCCAGAGTCCACCACAGTTTTACTCTGGTGAGCTAAAGCAAGTTCTAAGAGTGAAAAGGGGAGGAGAGTAGCAGGAAGACAAAAATGAGAAGTGATCAGGGGAACGTAACTAGAGATGAATGGGGTATAAATGAGACTCAGTAAAATTGGTGATATATTTTGACCAGCTTTCTCCAACCTGGTATTCTCCCAACATGTACTACATAATTTCCAAGCATCAGAATGAAGCAGATTCCTTCAGAATGATGACAGAACTAGGATAAAATTAACACTGAATTCACACAACATGCTAAAGCATCTTAAACATAGTTTATTAAATAAACAACAATTAGCTATATTTACATGTCATAACTAATAGTTTCTAACCCATGATTCTAACATAACTCTGTGTGACCTGAACTATGTGGTTTAGTCAACAAAATATGAGGAAATAGACCATGGCCTAATGTAATGTGTCACCTCAGAGAGTATAAGACTCATTGCTATAAAAGAAACCACAGTCACTCTCTTTTAGAGATTATATATATTAACATTCCCTGTCTAAGCTGCCAGTATTCAAACGGATTGGACTGCAACTCCAAAGAACAGTGTAGGAGATGACCAGGCTGAGCCCAAGGAGGGGGTCAAGCGCATCATTAGTTTGGAGTCCCTTTGGGCCCACAAAAAATCTAAGTCCAGCCATCCTTGAATTCCATTGACTCTTATCTCCTGCCAATTTGCCTTGACCATTAATAATTCAGATTCTTGGTAGAGATAACATGGAATAAACTTGTACTCATTTGAACAACCCTGGTCCCTGATTTCTTGTGCCTGACACATGGACATGGATCATGGGCTATCTGGGGATGGTTAAATATATCTGGGGTGAATTAAATTGAGAAAGACTGATATAGATGTAATTCAAATAGTAAACCATCAGCTTCAGTATAAGGAAAGGGAAAGGCCTAAAATGTTGGTAAATAATCTAAAAATCAATCTTATGTCTGATTCATACCACACCTCATGTGACTTGGCAAAGTTTGAGACTTTATTTGAACCACAGCCCCAGGGCAGGCTCTGTGCTATTGGTTGGTAGTTGATAGTTAAACCAAGGCTTCAGAGAAACTGCCATATAGATGAATAACTGTGTATCACAAGCACTTCTGAAACAGAGCAAAATACATGGATATCTCCCTGAATCCATATTACTCACTGGCTAAGGGAAGAGGTTCTGGATTATGAGGAGGGCTCTTGATCCCTTCCATGATGGTCTTGGCCACCAGGAAAATAGCCCCAGCTCCTGTAGCAGCAGATACCATGTTTCTTGTTGTTACTAGCTCTAAATACTTCATTTCCTCTTCTTGAATTCCCAGGGATCCAGATTCAGCCTGGGCCCTGGCCTTCCACAGATCCTTAAATAGGAAAGGTTAGATGGATCATGCATGGTTTATGACATCACCAGGTTCCATCATGACATCTACAATACATCATCACAGTAATGAAAAAGGAACAAGGAACTTTTACTTTTCAAATGTTGCCACTATTGACAGTAGATGATCTTTTAAGGCAGAGAGACTTGAGTTGCAGATATTGGATAAGACTGGGAAGAACTGCTAATAAGTATGTGGATTGTCTATCATCTGGTTTCTGTGCTAAACTTAGAATTGTACTGGTTAGAAATTAATCATATACTATATACATTCCATAAACCAGGGGTCCCCAACCTTGGCATCTTTAAGACCTATGGACTTCAACTCCCAGAATTCCCCAGCCAGCCATGCTGGCTGGGGAATTCTGGGAGTTGAAGTCCACAGGTCTTAAAGTTGCCAAGGTTGGGGACCCCTGCCATAAACTGTTTGATTTGCTTTTGACACAAAATGTTAACTTTTGAATTAACATTAATGGTATGACTTATAAGAACCTTCTTATGGCAGTCAGTGTGATAAAAGTATGCACTGCAACTCCAATGTAAGATTGTCAACATTAGAGCATCTAGCCCAGGGGTAAGCAACCTTGGCTCTTTTATGACTCGTAGACTTCAACCATGCTGGCTCAGGCATTCTGGGAGTTGAAGTCCACAAGTCAAAAAAGAGCCAAGGTTGCCTACCCCTGATCTAGCCAGCATAAACTTTTGGGAAATTTAATTGGTTTGACTACAAGTCCCTTAAGTATCATTGCACTTGTGCAGTTCCTGATGCAATCCATTGAAAACAAATCACTTCCATAGCAATATATGGGGGTTTTAAGTTATAGGTGCATGCCTACAATTTGGGAGACACCGGTTCATACTTTTTGACGTCCATTTTAGTCCTTTTATAAAACCTATATCTTCAGTACCACACATTGATTCAGCACCGTCACTCCATCATACCACTTTTATTCAGATCTACTGCATCATTCTACCTGCTATTAGTTTTAAAACCACACCACATCTTTCAAAGTGTTTTGTGCTATCTCTGGAGTTAGTGCCTAGAACTCTGGCTACTCTGTGCAAAGTCAACTTTGAGGCTTTTTTTCCTGAACAAGTGCTCGAACAAAGCTGCTTTTTTGAGAATGAATCCCTTCATGTATGTTTGATTGCAGACTGAGAAGTTATAACCCAATACAATATATTCAGATAATGCCAACCTGGAAGGCTGAGCAGAACATTTAGGAAACAGGAGCTCTTCATAATGATGGTTAAGTCTTTCTAACAATCCTTTCTTTCAGTCCGTTGAATAACCTCATAGAATCCCAAAACTATAGAATGGGAGGGTTTCTGCAATACAGAGAGAAAATATCTGACTAACAGCTAAAACAACTACAGCTGAACAAAGCCTAATTAGAAAAGGGAGCCCCAACGCCCATGGCTGTCGACTCATTTAGCTACCAGAAACATTCCCTTCTTGCTAAGGATGATCCCTTGATGTCATGCATTTAGCCTCAAGAGGGCGTACATGTTCAGAGTTAGAAATGAAAGATTTACAGAGGGCTGCTAGATAGGTTTGGCTGCTGAGGACTCTATCAATCGAGAAGTACCTCAAACGTTACTGAAAGAATATGAAAAAGAATGCAGACACTGCAGCATTAATGTAGCATGCCTCTAGCAGTTCTGTTCAGACCATCTGGCTTGCTGGCACCATGGCTAGAAGATATGTAGACCTGGCTATGGAAAATGGTGCCAAACATTTCCAGATGTCTTTTTGGGAAGAGAGCTCCATATGTTTATATTTGTAGAACATGACAGTTGTAATATATACATGACCCCCATCCTCCAAAGCTTTAGGCCTTGAGTCTAAAACTACTTCTCTTTTCTGTAATGCAAGTGTAAAAGATTATCTTGCCTAAATTGTACAGTAAAGTTGCAACATCATTTGTATGGTCTATTTTACTTTTCTTTTTAGGAACTTTTTTCATCTCAGGCGGCATCTATATCACAATAGAAGCTCATGCCTTCTATTGATCAGCATATACATGACACAGAGCCTGGTTACGTGAACAACTGCCTGTATCCCAAAGCATCTGCCCAGCCAATTTGATCCTGCAGGATTGGTACGTTGGGTTCTTTGATGGAACAATGTCATTTATTAGGATCCCCCAAGTGCACTTCCCTGTAGCAGTGCCTCTGGCATCTTCATCCAGGTCTTTGGCAAGGGAGAGTGAAACCGCTCCCTTCATTCTACCTGGTCTGTTGTGCTTGCCATCTTTTATCTTGATGCTTTATTGATTTGATTGTAATTTTTTTTTGATTATTGAGAGCTGGCTATCATACATGTAATTAATCACCATCATCACCATGACCGAATGGATTGAAGCAACCCAGTTACAGAAACTCATGTGGTCAGCTGCACATTTTTGCACTGAACAGTCAAAAAGGAGATTTAAAAAAATAAAACAAAGCACTCCAACTTAAGTCAACTCAGTTGCTCTCTTATAAAATTTAGAACCTTAGAAGTGCTATGGAAAATAAATGGTAAGAAAATGAATGGAAGATAAAGAGGCAATAATTTGCATGCCAGGCCAACTGGCAATATGTTACCATTTAATCCAGTGCAGGTCCCCCTCCCCTTTATAGGTTACTTCATAGTTTAAGTAATGTGACATTTGAAAAATTTCTGCTCCAAGAGCACCATAAAAGAAAGCTAAAGTACAGAGTTGAACTACAGAGCTGAAAGTCCTGTAGGGTACTGTAATCATTTGTAGGAATGACCCTGAGAGACAGGAGAAAGACTAGCAGTCTGGACAATCATCATGCAAAAGATATCCCAGTCCACAGAAGGAAAAGAAATGGCTACCGAGAGAAATTTTCCCTCATTATAGGAATTGTGGGTGTCCTCAGGAAAAATCTGCCTTGGCTGTACACGATGAAAACTGTACACTTGCCTGTACACAATGCATACCTATTATTTGCTACACAATACTGAACTACATACATGCAGTCTGATCATGCTGTGTTATTCATGTTGTCCTGGCATATGGTGGCCAATTTCTACTCCCAAATATGAAAAAGTCATTTTCTCTCTTTATCCTGTTCTTTTAGTGTCTCCTTAGCTTCTCTTTTTAGAGAAAGAAACCAATAAATTTCTAGAAATCTTTCTTACTCATTGGCTCTTCTGTTGTGTTTCATATGCCACAAGTCAAACTCCTGATAAACTACTCTGTAATTAAATTCCTGTTCTTCCTAATAGATTTAAGTGGGAGTGAGGGTGGGGGGCGGCCTTCCTCTTGCAAGGATCGATCTGCTTTCACTGATGAAAGAACTTGGAGGGGGAAAGACAAACTGCTCTTTCATTTCACCTTTTGGAAGAGAAGGAAGTAATGCTCTGTCTTAAGGACTATCTCTTGTGCGGAGTCTGATTAATTTCAGTGTTAAATTGCTTTCTCTTTCTTCCAGCCCAGCCAATCACCTCTGTAAGCATTGTTTCTCAGTTCTTACTGATAGAATACTAACAGCTGATACAAACAGAGCAGAATGCCATGAGACACTAAGCAATCAGCTATCACAGTCCAAGTGGCATGCAATGGATGAGTGGACTGCTTTTAAGCTGCCTTTTGCATTTTACATCAAGGAAAAACAACACTTATTTTGCTAGACAGGTGTGGTACTGCTGAAGCTTTTCAGTATGTATATTTCAAAGACTCTGAACAATCGCTTTGCTTTACCATTTTTGAAATCAAAACCTGACATCAGCATGTTTCATGTTCAGCACCCAGAAGTTCACTTTGCATAGATATCTTATTCTGATTTTTTTTCTATAGCTAATGATGACAGTATAACATCACCCCACAAATGCTCCCCTTGAAATGCCTTTCAAAGGAAATATATGTATAACTTTCTTAGGCTGGTGGGCTTTTACTCAGTATTGCTTAAAGCATTTAAACTCATTTTGAGAAAATGATACTTATCTTGTTTTAAAGGATTGAAACTGAAATTGAGACTTTAGAGTGAGTATGATTTCCTTGCAGCCTAGCCACCTCTTAAGACTGTCTTTATCTATGATTCATTGGTTGTGAAGTCCTGGACAAATGTCAGGGGTTGCTTGGCAAGACTTTAGAAGTGATATTGGCCTAGATAGGCATGGAAAATTAGGAGGCGTCAAGTAGTATGTTTTTTTCCCAACTAACACATTTTATTAAAAAACATAACTTCATCAACTGCAGCTCAGTTCATTAGATGTATAGCGTGGTTAGAATAATGTAGGATTTAGAAATGGGAGAAGGAGAAATAGCTGTGTTGTGCAAATGCAGCTTACGTGTGAGATAGATTATAAGTACTTTCTCAATAACATTGTGAACATACTAAAACCCCATTTTATTGAGACTTTTGAGATAGCCTGAAATTTTTTGATCTATCAGCATCAAAACATCTGCTTTTAGATGTTCATCAATCTCTCACTCAGTGATGCTCTTAAAGTTTTATTTTCATGTACAGATTTGCAAAAGACTATCCTGGGTTGTTGAAAGACTTGTCCCATCCTTGTCCTTTCTTGCTGCTTGTGAGAATTTGCTTCAGATTGAGTGGTTGTCTGCATACAAGTATAAGCCTGTTATCCAATGCCTGAGAAAGAGCAGGGTCATTGTCCAATACGGGCTGCAGTATATTAATAATATGAGTGATCTGAGTTGTAAGTGGCAACTAGTGGTGTTCTGGTGTGCTGCTTTTGTGGTCTTCTTTTAATAGGTCCTCTCTGATAATCAGTCTGGCTCTGTTAATTTTCTATTGATCTTATTGGGTGAGTATCCTGAGCGTCTAAGTTTTATTCATTCAGTTTAGCATCTCTATCATGTGGGTCAGAATAAATGTCATTGCAGCACAGAGCCTGACAGATTTAGTGGTATCTGGGTGGAGTTGACACATATGGGGATGCCTGGCAATCTGTAGGGTTTTTTTTTTTTTTGTATAACATGGTGTTTGTGTTCATTTTTTGTGTAGTTTTACTTCAAGAAAGTAGA